AGGACTCACGGCCGTGACGTCCATGGGCCGCTAATAACACAATGCAGAGAGGCCCAGTCCCCGGGGTCCGCTGACGCCACCTCGCCCAGCCCGGTGACGCAGGGCCCCCCGGGAGCCGTGTCTGAGCCGAGGGGGGGCCGGTGTGAGGACGGGGGGCAGCTGGGTGCGGCCTCTCCCCCCCAGACAGGCACGCCTGTGTTCTTGTTCGTCTTCCTGCCCTTTCTTTTGTTTGTGGTGGAGGGAGGGGGCCCTGGCCCGGGGGTGGAGGTGCCAGTAAAATGGGGCGTGGAGGATGAGCAGGCCTCGATTTGGGGCCCTCGTAGGACCTTGCCCCACCTTGCCCCCAGCTCAGGAGCCCGAGGCACATGGAGAGGTCCCTCCCCCCTGCCCCCTGCCCTCTGCCCCCCACTGGGCTCGAGGCAAAATGTCCCAGTCACAGTCTTACTCCAGTCCCTTCCCTCCACGGCCACGCCTGCGTCCCCTCCTGCCTCCTGGGGATCTGGGCCATTCTGGGGTCCCCTGGCAGTCACGGTCCTGCCGGCTCTCCTCTGTCCCCCACATCCAGCCTGCGCCCCAGCGAAAGGCTTGCTCACAGACAGGAAATGCACCCCCGGCCTCATCTGATTAAATTGTTGTAGCGAGTGAGCCTGAGGCGGCCGTGACGACTGGCTCCCTCCCCATGGGGCACGGCGTGGGCGGCGTGGGCGGTGTTTGCCCAGTCACTCTTCACAGGATGGAAAGTTGGGGGATAGGTTTGCAATAGAGGATGGTCCCCCAAACCCTAAGCCAGCACCTAGAGAGATAGTCATCTCTCTGTCCATCATCCATCCACCCATCCATCATCCATCATCCATCCTCCACCATCCATCATCCATCATCCATCATCCATCCATCCATCATCCACCCTCCATCATCCATCATCCATCCTTCCATCCATCCTCCACCATCCATCCACCCATCCATCATCCATCATCAATCCATCATCCACCCATCCATCATCCATCCATCATCCATCATCTATCCATCCATCATCCATCCTTCCATCCATCCTCCACCATCCATCCACCCATCCATCATACATCATCCATCCATCCTTCCATCCATCCTCCACCATCTACCCATCATCCATCCACCATCCATCCACCCATCCATCATACATCATCCATCCATCCATTCATCCATCCGTCCATCATCCATCATCTATCCATCATCCATTCATCATCCATTATCTATCCATCATCTATCCATGCATCATCTATCCATCATCCATTCATCATCCATCCATCATCTATCCATCATACATCGTCTATCTAGCATCCATCCATCATCTATCCATCATCCATTCATCATCCATCCATCATCCATTAACCATCCATCATCTATCCATCATCCATCCATCCACCCATCCTTCCATTCATCCATCCATCCATCCATCCATCCAGCCATCATCCTTCCATTCACCCATCCATCATCTATCCATCCATCCATCATATATCCATCCATCATCCATCCATCCATCCATCCA